GTGTGTGTGTGTGTGTGTGTGTGTGTGTGTTGTATTTGTGCTGATCAGCTGAGCCAGGGAAATAGGTATGTATTTAGTGTCACAACCCCTGGTATTCCCTGGCTCAGCTGATCAGCACAAATACAACACACACACACACACACACACACACACATACAGACATATATATATACTTGGCATTTAATTTATTTACTAGATGTATATTCCCAACTCCAGGTGTGAAATATTGTGTCCATACATAAAGGTCCAATTATACTGGTTTATTGCTAAAAACCTATGCATAGAAATCTTCTCAGTTAATGATTAGCGCCTGCTAGGAATTAGGTAAGTATCTACAGAATTAAAGGGGGAGTTGGGCTGTTTGTGGCTATGGAGGGATTCTAGGCTAATCTCTCTTTTGACTCCGCCCTCCAGGTTCGGCCACTGCTTCTCTCACAACGTACCGAATGCACCATCTATCCCAGGGGTGTCAAACTGGCGGCCCATGGGCTGGATGCGTCACGTGCAGGCCATGTCCGTGTCCCCCCACCCCCACGCTCCACGAAGGGAGAAGCGAGTTTGACACCCGTGTTCTATCAATTCCATTTTACTTCATAGTAAAAGCTGAGTGCGTTGACCTTAGCCCTTTTTAAAAGACGAGTTTTTAACCGCACCCTCAGACAGCCAACAGCGGCACGTACGCAGTCCTTTTGTTCTAAACACCAATTCCCTGCCCAGCACGACCGTCCCAGTTCTCCTACAGTTATAATACCAGTATGAAACCTACCACCTGGGGTGCCATTCCTTACAAATCTGATCATCCTGCAAGAATTGCAACAAACCAATTGCAAAGAAAACAAAAACCTACTGGGTATGGCAGTGCTTCACAAAGGAAAAGGGGGCCAGTGTTCATTTTATGACAAATTCCTGCTCAGAAATCATCAGTAAACTATTCCAAATTAATTTGTCCTCCTAAGTTAGCTGGAACTGCTTTGTTGAATGAAGCTAGGATTGTCTCCATGTGTAAATGTTAAAGATGTGATGTCAAGATGCCAGTGATAGAAGACGGAGGCTTTACTCTTTTGCAACAAATACTCCTCTTTTGATATAATCGCTTAGAAAGAATGTAGAACAGGAGGGACCTCAACCGATAACTTAAAAAATAAATAAAACCCAGTTGCAAACTGTTCATAGTCAAATTGGCTTTAAGCCATTTTCAATTCTGGTCTGGAACCAGACAGTGGATAAAGCCTGGAGATGATTAAAACATCTGAAGAACAGTTGTAGGAATTGGGTATGGCCAGTCGCGGGAAAAGAAGGACTATGAGAGCAGTATTCCAGTATCTCAGGGGTTGCCACAAAGAAGAGGGAGTCAGGCTACTGTATTTTTCGGATTATAAGACGCACCTGATTATAAGATGCACGTAAATTTAGAAGAGGAAAACAAACAAAAAAAGGTTTTTGGCCTCTGCATGCCACATTTTCAAATTTGGGGGGCCTTTTTGGGGCCCTTTTCCAGCCTTTTTTCTACCCATTTTTGAGGCTTTTTTTGGTTGGTTTTGGAGGCTTTTTGGGCCATTTTTGAGGCTTTTTCCCCAGCCCGTTTTTGAGGCTTTTTTCAGCCCATTTTGAGGCTTTTCTTGGCCCATTTTTGAGGCTTTTCTTGGCCCATTTTGGAGGCTTTTCTTGGCCCATTTTTGAGGCTTTTCTTGGCCCATTTTCAGGCTTTTCTTGGCCCATTTTTGAGGCTTTTTTGGCCNTTGCCATTAAGCCTCTTCAATTTTTATTTGCTCTTCTGCTCTCCATACACCATATTATAGTCTATTTCGTCTTCAGCTCTCCTCCTCTCCTTCTCCCTTCCTTCTTCTTCCCTCTCCCCTCTCTCTCTTCTCTACTTTCCCTTGCTCTCTCCCTCTCCTTTCCTCTCTTTTCACACCTTCCCTCTCTCCTGCTCTTTCCCTCCCTTCTACTTCCCTCTCCCCTTTTTCCCTCTTTCCCTCTCTTTTTCTCCCTTCCATTCTCTTATTTTACTTGGTGTATTTCCACCTTTTAGCAAACCCCATTTAATATCAACGGAATTGATAATTATATTCCCAACGAAAGAAGCGGGGGAAAAATGTTTTCCATATTGCTAGTTTTTCTTTTAAAGAGATACCTTTATACGAATTCCAATTGGAATTATTTTTCAACGTCTCTAACACCCTTGGAATCTTTGCAGCGATGTGGATAACACACCACTAATACGTTTTTAAAAGTGTGGTAAGTACAGTATCTGAAATGAGCAGTGTTAACGGAGATTAAAATTTAAGGAGGAGGACTTGGCATTTGATTTATTTCAAGAAATAAATCTTTTCAAGATTGGAAAGGCCCAACAGAGACTTCATCTCTTTAGCGTCCTGCGGAAAAGAAAATCAGGAGGAACAACGGCTGATGACCTCTTTCTATCGGTCAATTGATAGAAAGTGCCCTCACATACTGCATTACAGTATGGTATGTTGGTTTAACTGCTGCAGACAGGAAGGCACTACAGACTGTGATAAAATTTGGCACAAAAACCATTGATTATCTTCTTAACGCCACTGGATGACACCGCCAGGTCTCGCTGCTTTAGCAGAGTAAGATACTCAGAGATGATTATATTATATTATGAGTAAGATACTCAGAGATGGTCAGTGACTCTTCGCACTTCGACCATCGGGCACAAGACATTGAAGCATAGCCAGCCGAACAAATAGGTTTAAAAATAGTTTCTATCTTTGGGCTGCCAGACTCTTAAACACAACCACAATCACTCCGCACACAAGCGGAAACTTACGATTAGTTTGTTTTTTTTCTTTTCTCTTTTCCCCTAATTACTTACATTTTATTCTTTATACTATTTATGTTCTTTGCATCTGTTGTCCTGGATTGCACCAGTGGGCTAAAACCAATTTTGTTGTATTTATTTTGTACAATGACAATAAAGGATATATGTATTTATTTATTTATCAGCACAAATGCAACACATGTATGTATGTATGTATGTATGTGTGTATGTATGTGTGTATGTATGTATGTATGTATGTATGTATGTATGTATGTATGTATGTATGTTTGTAGTGTCACAA